TTTTTATTGCCAAATATTGTATGGATAGCCCACATTTTATTTATCTACCCACTGGTTGATTGACACCTGGGCTGCTTCCAGACCTTTCATGGACCATCATCCTGCAAGCGCAGGATGTTGGCAGCACACAGCATATGCTTGTCTGTGGAGTTTCCCGCTGGGCATCCCCTCTCAGCCAGGCCCTGCTTCCACTTCCTTTGGCACCGTCATCAAGCCCTTCGTGGTGCTAGAGCAGGGCTGTTTTCTCTCAAGAAGTGGTGAAATGGCTCCTTCCCTGCAGACAGGCACATGTGCTTACATATGTTCCAGTGGCTCTGCTTCTCTACAGCTCCTTCAGACTCCCTTGGTTAGGTTCATGAACACATCTTTCTTTATAGAACAGGCTGGGAACAGGTGCCATGGTATCTCCTATGTTAGCTGTTGCTGAGCCTGGGTGCCAACTCATATGAGAAAGCCCTTGCAGGATTCAGAACTCTTGGGTGTAAGTGAGAGAAACCCAATTCAAATCAGTTAAAGCAAAAATGGAAGTCGAAAGGTCTAGGGATATCTCTTATCTCAGGTGGATCCAGGGACCCAAATCATGTCATCCAGAAATCACTTTCTCTCTCCCTCCTTCTCCATCTGTATTCCCATATCTTGGCTCTGCTTTTCTCTATATCGGTTTTATTCTCAGGTAGGCCTTCCCCAAGTGGAACAATATAACCAACAGCATCTCTGGACACACAGTCTACCAGCTTAGTAGCCAATGGAATAAGAGCTCATCTTTCCAAGAGTTTCAGCAAAACATCCAGGTTTGAAACTCATTGGTCAGGCTTGGGTCATGTGTCCGCATATGAACCAATCATTTTGGCCAGAAGATGGAATGCCCTGGTTGGCCAGATCTGGGTCCTGGGCCTACCCCTTGACTAGAAGTCAGTTTACCTGAACTTCATGGACTAAGATTGAGGAAGAGGGAGTGGCCCAAAAGAAAATCAAGGGGAAATAACTGCTGGACACACGCAGCAGATGTTACTGGAACCATCCTATGAACTGTCCTGTCTGGGGTCTGCCCCACCAGTTTATCACGCATATCCAGATGGGCCTGAGCCCTAGTAGTGGACATTCTTAGGCTGAAGCCGAGATCCCGTTAGATACGTTATCGTTACATACATGTCATTACATGTAATAAATCAATTCCTCATAAGACCCTAGAAATTGATAGCCAAGATATTCCCCCTCTTAATAAGGGTTTATCATTGAACACGAACAAAGCCTTAGTATAAGCAATGTTGCCCTAATGGTGGAATCATGGACTTTATGGAAGCACATTGGAGAAAATATTTTGATTCCAAGAGGCCTTTTGGAGACCCAGAGACTCAATAAGTAGTTACCCATTCATCCATCACATCCATGTTTAGGATCTGAATATCCTTAATTTCACAGTAATTTATTCATGCCAGGAATGAGCAGAGAATCTGGATGGGGGGAGTAGCAGAGGGGCCAAGAAATCACAGACAAGGGTACCCCGGTAAAGAAGACCTTGTTGTAGGCAGCAGCACAACATAGCTCTTCTCTGACATCCCCCTCACTCTTTCTTCCCATCCCTGTTCCTTTGTCACCATGGCAACCAATGATGCTCCCTCCTCCTCTTTCCCTCTCTGCTCACTCTGGTCCCCAGGCCCCACTGCTCTTTGTCTGACTGGCTTCACACCGCGGCTGCCAGCTTCTCTGCAAACACTCAGCCTGGGCATGCAGCTTCACCTTCTTTTCACCCTCCACCCCACCACCCTCTCCCGCCTCATTTTCCTGCTCCCAGTCTTCTGCTTCATGCCTTCCTTAATCTTGATCCAGGCTTTAGTGAAATTACCATCTTTCTTCAAGAAGTTGGATGAAAATTAGATTTTTGCCACTCTAACCTGATTTGAAATGCATTAAGAGATCTGTCTCTTGAAACATCTCAAGGTGAGGCAATTTGTGAAGGGAAGAAGCATCCCTTACTGCGGCTTCTGTGCTTAAACATTGTTAGAGAGTGAATCACATTCTATTTTTGTACTAGGAGTGTCTTCTGTTTAACAAAATCCCCCAGCGTGTCTCTGAGTGAAACAGAGACTTTATCATAAAGGAACTAACACTTCAAGTTCAGAGATTGTGAGCTGTTGGCCCCATGGACTTTTGTTAGGTCTGTAGAGTGGCTAAAGAAAATTGAACAAACATTTGAAAATCAGCAGGTATCACAAAAGTCTGGATTTCTGGCTGCCCTTGAGTTGGACATGGGGCGTGTATCTCCACATGGTGAAGATGGGAAGGAGGGAAGAAGGAGTAGAGGCTTCCTGCTTTATGGGTTCTTCCTCTCCTGTCAGCTATGCCTGGTCAGTTTCCCACTTTTACCTGGCCCACCTGGGTCCTCCTGGCATCTGAGCTTCTGACCCTGGCCCTAATTGATGTTTTTTGTTTGTTTGTTTGTTTGTTTGTTTGTGTTTGTTTTTGAGATGGAGTCTTTCTCTGTCGCCCCGGCTGGAGTGCAGCGGCACAATCTCGGCTCACTGCAACCTCCACCTCCCAGGTTCAAGCAATTTTCCTGCCCCAGCCTCCCAAGTAGCTGGGATTACAGGCGCACGCCAGCATGCCAGGCCAATTTTTGTATTTTTAGTAGAGACAAGGTTTTGCCATGTTGGTCAGGCTGGTCTTGATCTCCTGATCTCAGGTGATCCACCCGCCCTGGCCTCCCGAAGTGCTGGGATTACAGGCATGAGCCACCATGCCTGGCCTCCTAACTGATCTGTTTTGAGAACCAGGATTCTCCCACAGTGCGTGGAGTTTGCTTAGGGGCAGTCATCTGGAGTTCCTTTGAAGTTAGCCTGATACCTGAGAGCAGGTGAGCTTTCTACCAACTACTGTGCTTCCAGAGTCTTCCAATCATTGTTTTCTCGGAACCCACTCAGGCTAGCTCAAATATTATGGGCTTTATGTATGTGAGGCAGTGGAAATTGCTCAGAAGTGAAGTCAGGCACGGTGAACTGTGTAGGGTTTCTCTGTTAGCCCAACCACCTCCCTCTTCTTTCATATACCTACTCCTGTCTCAGAGTGGACGTACCAGCCTGGTCTTCAGAAAAAGAGCCAGGCAGAGCAGATTCAAGAGGAAGGACCCCAGGCTGCCAGTAACAGACTCACTCTCCCGTCTTGGGGGACCTAGGAGAGGACATGGGGTGGGTTGCAGAGGGAGCTACCCAGGCCTTTGAGTATAGATCTACTGCCACTCATGGAATGGCAGGTGTGTGGGTCAGGTGGGCCCATGAGTGAGGCCTTACATCTGTCCCCTCTCAAAGACATTTTCCCCCTTAGTGCTTGGCGAGAGAAGTGTGGGAACACGGGACGGCAAGGCTGCAGTGAACTGAGATTGTGCCACTGCACTCCAGCTCCGGCAACAGAGTGAGACCCTGTCTCAGAAAAACAGAACAAAACAAACAAAAAAGAAACATGGGAACGGTTAGAATAAAAGGGTAGATTCATAAGCAGGAAAACTTTGGAGCCGCTACCCCCAGTTACACATGTCTAGAGAGATATACAGGGGGCCACACAATGCCATCTGAAATGGAGTAGCAGTTCTCTTCCCATGTTATCAAACCAGCTCGGCACCGTTGTTCACAAACCTAAATGAACAAGACACAGGACGGTTCTTTGTTTTCTTCCAATTATCTTTCAGCTCCTTGCCACACTTGGTCTCTGCCGCCTCCTGGCTGAGCAAGCTTGGGCCATTCCTGAACCTCTCGGAGTCTGATTTCTCATCTGCGAAGTGGATGTCATAGGCTGAATTCTCTCCCCTCAGAATTCACGTGTTGAAGTCCTAACCCCCAATACCTCAGAATGTGATCTTATCTGGAGATGGGGCTTTAGACTACATACTGGGTACAGTGTACACTGCTCGGGTGATGGGTGCACCCAGATCTCAGAGATCACCACTATAGAATTTATCCCTGTAATCAAAAACCACTTGTACCCCCAAAACTATTGAAATTAAAAAAAGAAATCATGGTGTTAAAATGAGGGCTTAATCCAATCTGACTGGTGTCCTTAGAAGAGGAAATTTGGGCTTTCAGAGAGACACCAGCGATGCACACAGAGAGTAAAGACCACACGGGGACGCAGGGAGAAGGCAGCAGCCATCTGCAAGCCGAGAGAGGCCCTAGAGGAAACCAAACCTGCCAACACCTTGATCTTGGACTTTCAGCTTCCAGAACTATGGGCAAATGAGCATCTGTTGTTAAAGCCACCCAGTCTGTGGTGTTTTGTTAGAGCAGCCTGGGCAGATTAATCTAGTGCGTACCAGTGCTCCTTCATGAAGGGCTGTGGGATAAAATAGATGACATGAAGTGCGATGGACAGGGTACAATACATCCTAGGTGTTCAGTAAGGGTGAGCTTCCTTTTCAAGAAGCAGTCACAGAATGCTTTAGCTCGCAGAGCCTTTCTCAGATTGTCTCTTACACTCCTTCTGTTTATTTGATTGATGAATGATTGCTCCTTAATTGCTGATTGAGCTCTGTGGTCTGGTTGTTGGCCCCTGGCAATGGGTGGTCTGTGCAGCCACACTGTTTGCTGATCTTGCACTTCCAAGACCTGAAACTAGAGCTGGGGCTCAGAGAAGAGCTGCCCCGTGGTAGCAAGTCTGTCACTGGCTCTTTCTGGGGCAGAGGGAAGCTCCCGAAACCCTGCTCTCCCCACCGCCTCCACCAAGGGTCCCTCTGCTCAGCACTTTCTGCACGGCTTCCTGGTGGCTGTCTTCCAAGGCCTGCTTTCTGCCCCAGGACCTTACAAAGGCTGCTTTGATGAAAAGTTTGAGGCAAAGTGACTGTGTCATTTGATACAAGAGGCTCAAGGGGGTAAAAAGTGTCGCTTTCTTCTATTTTTGGATTTTCTAGCCCAAAGGAGAATGATCAGCTGAATGGGGCTGGGGCGGAAGCCAGGAGCAGAGAGAGGAAATGCCCCCAAGCTGGAGAGCCCCTGTGATTAGCAGCTGGAAGCCTAGAGCGTGACCTGCTTGTGAAGAGGCACCTCAGCAGACAGACTCTGTGCCAAGAGCTGGAAGGCATGCAGGGGCCACTTGCCCTGGGGGCCACCAGACTCGCTTCCTCCAATGGCCTGCTCCAACGGTCCCTGCCCCTGCAAAATGCAAAGAGCCTGCTCCCTCCCTCTCTCCTGTTGATGGGAGTACAGGCCAAGGATAGTCACTCTCTGGGTGAGATTTGAGAGGCACCACAAAAGCCCCTTACCCCTGGGGTCTCCATCATCCACCGCCAGGGCAGTGGCACAGGGCTGTGCTCTCAGCGGGGGCTCTGCACATGGCTTAATGCTCTGCTGTCACCGTCGTGGAATTCTTGATGTTTTTGAATAAGGGAAACTGCACTGTCCTCTTGCACTGGGCCCACAAATTCAGGAGCCCGACCTCCCCACCTCTCCCAGTTCTTGACATTCTGGTTAGCGGTCACTTCCCTTCCCTGCTCTGGCTGATACCTCTCATCTGTGTAGCTTCTCCTTCCCCACCAGCCTCCACCTCGTTATCTCACTAATTGTCACTATAACCCTGTGACACCTGTGAGGGGTCACCGGTGAGGGGCTGTGAGGGGCTGACACCTCTCTGACTCGTGGCCCTTTGTAGGATTTGCCCCATGAGCCCAGGCCTTTTGATGCCACTCCTTTGCTCTCTTTGAGGAACAAAAATGCCTACCTCCTGGCTATCTGTAATCCCCTCCTACTTAAGTGTAAGAAATTTGCAAGTCTGAAACCCATCCTCCACTTCACCCTTAAGAGCCTACAAAGCCCTCTGAGGGTGCTTAATAAATACTGACTAATGAACTTGCAGCTGCTGCTCCTTTGGCTAATTAAATCTAAGTAAGTCACAGACTTTGAATTATGCAACAAGGCTTGGCCAAAACAGCTTAAAAATGTGGGAGCCCTAGCTTTTCTGCTGTGCCCTGTGGAAAAATCCCATCTTTTAATCATGCTTAACCTTCCTGAAGAACAGCGGCAACCTTTAAATAATGAATGAATGTATATTAGCAAGATTTCCCCAAAGCTACACATGGGAGTCAGATCAAAAAAGGGACAGAGGCAGACACAGGTCTGTGGGGATTTTGGAACTTTCTGTTGAGTCCTGGCCTGCAGGGTGAAGTCATTTGGTTCTCCAGGAGCTCAGAGCATGAACTGGTGAAAGGAGGGAGGGGCAGATGTGCTACCCACAGGTTCAGCTTCCTGATGTGGCACAGTAAGCTCCTGCTACCCCTAGCCTGCGGCAGAGCTTAATGGAGACCCCATAGCACTTCTGAAGGGCCATGCACTCAGTTGTTCTCCCTCTCATTCCCCCTAGAAGACCCTTCTGGCCAACAGCATTGTCTTCAAAAAGAGAACCGATTTTTTTTTTTTTTTTTTTTCTAATACGGTCTTGCTCTGTCCCCCAGGCTGGAGTGCAGTGGCACAATCACAGCTCACTGTAGCCTCAACCTCCCAGGCTCACATCTCAGCCTCCTGAGTAGCTGGGACAGCACAGCAGGTGCATGCCACCGGACCTGGCTTTTTTTTTTTTTTTTTTTTGATAGGGTCTTGCTCTGTCCCCCAGGCTGGAGTGCAGTGGCACAATCACAGCTCACTGTAGCCTCAACCTCCCAGGCTCACGTCTCAGCCTCCT